TGGTTCAAATAGCGGCCACCGAGATGGAATTACCATTGGGTCCATCCACATCAACCCAGAGCGCGTGGTCCATTCCAGGAACACCGCAACCACTGGACCCGCCATCTACATCAGCCCAACAAACAACCACGGCGGCAGGCACAACCACTGAGTCCAACTCTCCACCTGCGGTCACCACACCCAAAGGTAATGACATAGGGGACATCTGGGCAGATGGACGGCTAGAGGCCCTATTAACCAAAGTGGTGGACCGAGCCCTAGCACAGCGCTCCGCCCACCACGACCAGGGGCCCTCCATCTCAGCCATGCCACACTCGGAACTCCCCTCAGAGTCCTCAGGCATTCAGGAACCCGTCTCCCCGGCCCAGTCCTCCATGAGTGGTTATTCTTCACCACAAGAGGAGGATCAACCTGGGATCTCTATGTCAGAGGATGAGGAACTTCCCCCTGAGCCCCCCTCAGGGGGATTATTTAATCCCAACCGCTTCCTCACGATACTACGCAAGGCCACAGCCATTGCGGACATGGGGACGGATCAGTTTTCTCAGCCGCAAGCGACACCGGCCACCACATCCAGACCCGTATTCGTAGAAAAGGTGACAACGCAACACCATATACCTTGCCCCGCCATTTTCCTGAAAGGGATCAAGAAGCCATGGGACTCTCCCGCTTCCTTCCCATCAGTGAGTGGTACGGACAAAAAATTATACAGCACTGCCACAGACCTCAATGAGGCCTTAGAAATTCCTAAAGTAGATGAAGCCTGGACCCCCTTGGTCTCCCAGACAGCCATGGCTGGGGACCTAGTGGAGGCCCTTAAGGCAGATGACAAAAAGTGGGAACAAGCCTTTCGCAAAACCCACCAGACAGCGGCATGGGCCATCAAAGCAGCCACCTCGGCCTCCTTTTTTGTCCGGGCCACCCTCATCTGGTTGCAACAACTACAAACCATAGTTCCTATGGAGGACATACGAACACACCAGGACCTGGCTAAGATGGTAGCAGCCACGGAATACGCTGCAGACGCAACGTTCCAATCGGCCATTTTTTCATCCAGATCCATAGCATCCAACATAATTGCCAGGAGAATGCTATGGCTAAAACACTGGCAAGCTGACACCAAGGCTAAGTGGTGGCTAGCGACCGCCCCTTACTCAAGCAACGGTCTGTTTGGGGAGGCCTTGGACCCCTATCTTGTAGAGAACAAAGACAAGCGGAAGGTCATGGCACACTTGAACAAAAGGTCAGACAAACGTACCACACCTTACTTTCGTAGGCAGTCCTTTCGTCAACCGACAACCACGCCTATCAGTCAGGCACCCAAGCCATTCACTCCCAGGCAGAACAAACCGTACGGCCGCCCCTACGACAGACCGGGGTTCCAGCCCAGACAACAAAACCAGTCGAGACGACCCTTTCGTGGAACGGGTCGTCCGTACCGGAAGACAAAATGACTCCTACATAGACCTACCCATTGGAGGAAGACTAGCTCACTTCTTCCACCAGTGGGAGCAGACCTCCACGGACAACTGGGTACTACAAACCATCCAGTCCGGGCTGTCCCTGGAGTTCCTGGTCACACCCCCAGACCGACTCATCAACTGCTCGGTCTCCAGGAACCCCACCAAACGCAAACTCATGCAGGAGGCCATCCAACACCTGTTGGACATTCAAGCAATAGAACCGGTCCCAGCGGAATACAGAGGCAGAGGATTTTACTCCATCCTCTTTGTGGTTCCAAAGACTTCAGGAGGATGGAGGGCAATCCTGGACCTAAAAAACCTCAACCGCTACATCACATACAAAAAATTCAAGATGCAATCCCTTCAGTCCATCCCGGGAAGCATCAGAGAAGGAGACTTCCTGGCATCGATAGACCTCACGGAAGCCTACCTTCACATCCCCATCCACCCAAACCACCGCCGGTTCCTACGTTTCTGTTACGGGGGAAAACACTTCCAATACAGAGCTCTCCCCTTCGGTCTATCTTCGGCACCCAGGGTATTTACCAAGATACTAGCAGCGGTAGCCGCCAAACTGAGAAAAATCCCAATACGCGTCCAATGTTACCTAGACGACATACTAATCCAAGCAACATCCCTACAGACAGCTCAGGCGGACGTAAGGACCGTCATTCGCGTCCTCCAATTACACGGATTCTCAGTAAACTTTCAGAAGAGCCAGACAGTTCCCTCGTCCAGGCTGCTGCATCTGGGGGCCATGATAGACACAACCAACTGTATGGTCTATCTCTCCCAAGACCGGGTGGCCGGCATCAGGGAACTGGCTCGCTGGGTTCACAGGCAACGTTCAGTTCCGATACTAACACTTTCCCAATTATTGGGCAAGATGGTATCGGCCATAGCCATTGTACCCTGGGCCAGGCTCCACCTACGGGAACTACAGTGGTTTCTGCTCCCGTACCAACGGCAGAACACCAGCACATCCAACCACCTAGTCAGGGTCACGGCACAAATCCGCAGGGCGCTACGCTGGTGGTGCTCTCGGGCCGTGACCAAGGGGTCACCCTTCAAGGAACCAGTCAGAGTTACCATCACTACAGACGCCAGTCTGTATGGTTGGGGAGCCCATCTGGACTCCCGGTTTGTACAGGGACGTTGGTCCGCCACGGATCTGAGAAACAACATCAACTGGCTAGAACTCAGGGCTATCCACCTAGCCTTGCAACAATTCAAAGACAGAATCAGAGGCCACCACGTTCTAGTCCTAACAGACAACGTAGCAGCCAAGGCGCACATCAATCGGCAGGGGGGGACCAGATCAAAAACCCTGATGACAGAGTCACGACTCCTATTCAGCTGGGTAGAGCCCAATCTGAAGTCACTAAAAGCGGAACACATATCGGGGGTCAACAACCAGCAAGCGGACTTCCTAAGCCGCACCACAGTGGACCCTTCGGAGTGGGGGCTACACCCGAACTTGTTCCTAGACATCTCCCGCAAGTTCGGGTACCCGATCCTCGATCTGTTCGCATCATCAGACAATGCCCAGCTCCCCAGATTTTACTCTCGTTACTTCAACCCGCGAGCAGAGGGGACGGACGCTCTGAGAACTCAGTGGCCTCAGGGTCTGCTTTATGCCTTTCCCCCACTACCACTCATACCGGCGGTCATCCGAAAGCTGATTCAGGAGCGGGCAGAAGTGATCCTAGTAGCACCATATTGGCCACAGAGACCGTGGTTCGCCGACCTGATGAACCTGTCTCACTGACATAATCATTTACTTTCTGTTTATTGGAAATAGATATGGAAAAAGGGAAATAACAAGAGAACCTAGAGAACTGTCTCCCTCCTATCTTGCCAGCAACAAAAGAATAAATAAATTAGCAGTTCCTCCAGTATAACATTTGATGATCTTAGAACTGCCCCATAAGCACTTGATATAGTTTTCTTCCCTATCATAAACCTCTGACTTTAGGTAAAAGGAGAAAGTGACTAATTCACAGACTGTTGAAAGGATAAGATGGGAAAACTATATGCTACCCTGACTTCTTAGAAAGAATTCATATGTGCTAATTTTACCACTATGATTATCACTTTAGTATTTTTACTGACAATAATGTAATGAGTGCTTTTAATCAACAGAAATCATAAATTCAAGAAAGGTACTGAGGCTGACATCATAAAAAAACTATCCCAGGAGGGACTAAAAAGACTGGAATTAAAATAGAAACAACTGATAGAAGTCTCCATTTGCTTTCAGCATATTGTTTTAATCAAACCGAGGACTAATTTCTGTAGAACTGAAGCTAAATTGTATATTTTAATTATATATATAATTATATTAGAATATGTGACTTTGAAGTATTCTAGTTAGCAATATGACTTCAGGCAGTTTTAAATTTGGTTAATGCTAGATTTTTGAGATCTTGCTTAAACGAAGATTGCCCAAGAAAATGAAAGGAGTTGTATATACATCAGTCAACTCAATCAGTTTGAACCAGAGAACACATCTGAAAGTTAGACACTATCATTGATAAGGCTAGTGACAAAATGCTCATTTCCCATAAGCCAACTGATGCCTAATAACCGAAATAACAATGAACTCAAAGTAATCTCTAACATGCAGACAACTGGGAAAAGTGATCCTTCTAGGAAACATCACTACTTTATTTCTTCTAGGAGCTCTTCTCATGTTTATGATTTACAAATACCTTTTTGAAAAACTTTGCACAGACCTTTTAGATGAGTTAGTTTCAAAAAATGACCAAATTTTTCTAGAACTGCAGTAAGTTCACCTTTCAACCAAAAGACCTAGATGCAATCTAAAAATTGCAGTTAATTTAACCTGATCCAAATAAATCTGCTGTCTCTTCTTGTTTTACAGGAAGACAAAAATTGCTTAATGTAGATTCAAAGGCTTTAGTATCAAGACAGAAAACCTAAATGTAAAGTCTGATTCAAAGTACAGTCTTGTGCACTTGGTCTTTAGCCAAGAACACTGCACTAAATAATTGTACTGCATTCCACTTTTTCCCCCTTTTTGAGGCATACTAAGTATTTATTAATTGGATAAGAATTTAGGGACCACGGAGTGCTTCTCTTAAATGCTGTTTTTTGAGTCAGTGTATTTATTTCAAATTAATTTTAATGTTCCATTAGTCTTTGGCCTAGTCCAAGAGCAATGTAACATAATACAGCCAAAGTTCCATTCTTTGCTTCCACCATATATATTCTTGCTAGACTAAAGCCTTACTACCCTACCCTAATGATATACTGTGAGAAATATTAGGGAGTAGCTATCCTATATCTCTTCCCAGGATCCAGCTCTGAACTGTGCTGTCTCTTGCTTCATCCCCCCCCCCTACTTTGAATGTACGCCCTTCTTCCTGGAAACCTGCTGTTAATGTAGTCTGTCATATAGTTCAAGTGTTTTATACTGCATATAACTGCATTGTGTTTTTAAAACTGTTACTCATTTTGAACCTCTGTGTAATGCAAAGTGTATTTGAAAAGCCACCAAATAAATACACAATCATATCGAGAATGGAAATCTGTAGTTTATTTACAACAGAATGCTACTGAATAATTTCTATCTTTGATTTTTTTAAAATGAAAAATCTATTAAACCTAATAATTAGAAATTAAAATATCACAGCAAGAAGCAAGTGTGACCTAAGCAATCCTCTGAATAGTATGAGATCTTCAGTTTGGACCAAAAGCAATGTTAGTGAACATATCCACACAAAGCACGGGAATGCAAAAATTCCAATGAAAGAGTACCACCAATTGCCCCTATAAATAAGAAGCAAAACCAGAGCTGCAACATCTTGGTGCAGAATTTATTACTAGCTAAAAGATATTTCTCCAAGAACAAGCCAAAATAATGTTGAGCTTATGGTCACTTCAAAAAAGAAAAAAAAATCTGGCTTTAAACTAGGTACAAGAACTTTATCTCATGGCTTTGGACACCAGGTTAAATATTAACTCCATAATTAATAGCAGCTGTTCCATCCTCCCTTAGAAAACAAAGTTTTTTTGTTTTTTTAAACTAACTGAAGCAAAACCATAGTCCAGGCCTCTGCTCCACCATGTCATAGGAAGTACACTGGAGACACTGCACAAATTCCAGGAATTTAAATGTCAAACAACTTGAGCATCAGAAAAGCCTCTTCTTTAGCTTCATACAGTATCATATATTCAATGTCACAGATTTGCTGTTCTTCTGTAACTGTAAAATAAATGCATTCATTTTACTTCTTAGTACTTGTAGCACAGATTTCAAATAATACTGAATAATTTTATCTCATACTTTTAAAATTAAACAATTTATCAATATAGAAAATATGAAACAATAGGCTTAGTCAATCTATGCAACATTTCTTGTTACCCAAGACCAGGATTTTCCAATGTAGTCAATACTGAGTCCTGACAGGCGATGGGGCTACCCATTGTTGCTGTTATTAATTATTTGTAGTATTATTTATTCATAGTACTATTAGTTAAAGTAGTACTTATTATATTATTTTCGTATAATAAATGTTGGGGTTGATTAACAATCTGAAATTTCATGAAGAGTTTGATGACATGAAGAATTTGGGACCCCTGCCCAAAATGAATGTTTGTAAGTTGAAAAGGAGCCAGATGGTCAGATACCACTTTCTTTCCAACACTTTGCACTTCTCTCTGCAGATTTTACTGTGCATTTACCTTCTAAATAACTATTGGAAACCAGTTTTTGGCCAAATTCTCTATCCAAATCTAGAAACTGAGGAAAAATTACTTTATCTAATATAACATATACATTTGTATCAACAATTTTCTAAACAATCTTGGGGAGAGGGAATCAGACATTCTAATAATAATATTTTTTTTTTGCCTTAATTTAAGTAAGTTTATAATGCCGACTCAAAACCACTTTGGGTGGTGCATATATACTAAACCTAAAGCCATCTCAACATAACCCACCTGGAATTAGAGATCCATCCAATAAGCTGAAAGGAAAGCAATAGCTGCTAATGTCATCTTGTAAATACTAGTTATTATAGATCAGATTGCCAAATTAATTTTCCATCTTTGATGAAATGTTGAAAAGGAATGTAGTAATCCTCCAATAAAATTTAAAGTTAATATCTTAAGATAAATATAAGGATTATTATTAAACTGAACCTATCAAATTATTCAGTGAAATTACACCATATTTAGCAATGATGCATTGAACTTACCATGAAGATCCTTTTTCTATAGTGAGAGCAGAGCATTCTAAAATGGGTGTTTCTTCCCCCCCCCCTTTCAGAATTGGGGCTAGAAGATTTCAATCTCAGTTCTTGGAGGAAAATAAAAGATCCCTTCTCCAGTTTAGAGTACAAAGCCAGAAAGGGACTCCACAAAATACTTGAGAAATTAATACAGGAATGTTACATTAGACTCCATATAGAATGCAAATATTGACAACTCCCTCTTTTTTTGGTGGACCGAACATCATGTCTTTGCGATAGGGACATTCATAGTAATTCTGATGTGGATTTCCCTACAATAAAATCAGCACCTTCTAAAGTGGAATACTCACTGCTTTTTTTCTAAAAAAAAAAAAAAAAAATGTGCCGGAACTCACACGTCATACAACCTGCCTTGCCTACCCTGCAAGGTTCCATCCAAAAAAGGTGCTGGAACTCCATTCTGGGCGTTCTATGAGAAAAAAAGCCCTGGGAATACTATATATCAAAGCTGTCACTAGGGATAGGATCATGTCCCAGGAAGTAGAATTATTTCCTTTAGTATCTTCCTGCTAAAGAGTGCTTTACTGAGGTGTAAGAGTTACAGGTAGTCTTTGACTTATGACAATTCAGCCCAAAATTTCTGTGGCTAAGTGAGACATTTGTTAAGTGAAATGACACAGTAGTGGGAAGGAGCACCCACTGAAGGGGACAGGAGTAGAAACTCATTGACTGAGTCTATGCAGACAGTCATTTGCCCCCCCCCCCCGCCACATACTAACTGGCTTGTCTAAAACATGACTAGCTGCTGAACAGTCTCTTTCTTCTCCTCTGGCAGAAACATCACGATTTCAGGATGGCTCTAGGCCGTATGCCAGATGTAGAGTGTTATTGTGTCTATTAAGAAGCCAGTTCTTTGAGTCTGCAACATGGTATGGTTGTCCCTCTTTCCCTGTTCAATCAATGGTGACTGGCTTTGCAGGTCATCTAGACCAGTGTTTCTCAACCTTGGCAATTTTAAGGCATGTGGACTTCAACTCCCAGAATTCCACAGCCAGCATTGCTGGCTGTGGAATTCTGGGAGTTGAAGTCCACATGCCTTAAAATTGTCAAGGTTGAGAAACACTGATCTAGACAGAGGTACATAGGGCATTTTTTTCCCCTTAAAGATACTTTATCATGGATTTAAAAGATAGCATCTAATTTGGTGATTCATTTGTTTGAGGGCCAGGATGATGTGCTATCATTTTTCTTTAGAACAATGAAAAATATGGCACAAGAATGGAAGACTAACTCAACCTGTAGGATTTGTTCAATACATGGTCAGAACTAGTTTCTGGACTTCAGTGCCAGCTAATGTCTGATTGCCTTGCAAGTGTTGAAAAATTAGGTGAAATAGTTTCAGGGTGCTGATGAATTTGATTATAAGACAGGACTGTATTTATGAGAGACTTTATTTATTTATGAGACTTATGTATTATACCGCTTTAAGTGCAAGCACTCTCTAAGCGGTGTACACCAGTAAGCAATGTACATATGTATATTTATATTGCCCCCAACAATCTGGGTCCTCATTTTACCTACCCCGGAAGGATGGAAGGCTGAGTCAACCTTGAGCCGGTGAGATTTGAACCGCTGACCTGCTGAACACAGTCAGCTAAAGTGGCCTGGAGTACTGCACTCTAACTGCTGCGCCACCTCGGCTCATATTTTTATCTCTAATCTCAATTAGGCTTTCATCTAGGGCAGGAGTAGGCAACCTTGGTTCTTTTATGACTCGTGGACTTCAACTCCCAGAATTCCTGAGCCAGTTGAAGTCCACGAGTCATAAAAGAGCCATGGTTGCCTACCCCTGATCTAGGGAGTCTCTGAATAGCTTGTCCCACTTGAATGGGCCATATATAAGATTTGGAGACGGAAAGTTGTCTTGTGTAGCCATATTAGCAACCAAGCCTTTGGCTAAGAATTGACCATTGTCCAAATTCACATCAGCCATAAAGGCAATTGCGTTGGCTAATTTATTCAGATCCTGTTTCAGCTATACATGTTCTAGAAGTATGAACTCAAATGGCTGTTTTGTCCAACTGATGACAAATGACAAAAACAAAAAATGAGGGAGGTCCTTGTGGCTGTTTCCTCCTGTTTTCTGTGCTACAAAACCTCCACTTTCCTGTCCTCTAGCTGTTTGAAGGGTTCTTACCTTTAGCATAACTTTGCAAACCAATTCTGCTATGGAGGACTACTTCATGAGGGAAAGTACAGAGTTTGATGAGCAAAGAGAATCTTATTTTTCCTGCATCCTCTCCACTCTTCCCATGGACTTTGTTGAATATTTCAGGGAACTTGGGGAAGGCTACTAGCTACAGCAGGGGTGTCAAACTGTTGGCCCGCGGGCCGGTTGCATCATGCAGAGGCCGCACCCACCCAAGCTCTGGCAATGCAAAAAAAGTTGTGGTATGTCTAACACGTCACATGATATGACGAGTTTGACACCCATGAACTACAGTGTAATGAGGTGTACGAGTAACTGATAGTAAGAGCTGCAACTAAGCCTATGGTTGCGTGTGCGCACGCATACACACACAACTGAATCTAAGGCAGAAATATAATTCAAGAAAATGTCTCAAGTTCGGCCCTCCCTAGTTATCCTATAGATAAATGGAGGGAGGGAACATGAGCATTTAGACTTGTAAGATTCTGTTGCTATAGCCTTATAATAAAAGTAATATTAGTATTCATAACTTTGGTTTTCTAGTCTGGCCTAGCTTGAAGAGGTTCCTAACACACATAACAGTAGATCCACTAGAGGACCAATGGGAGTAGACTGCTTTGGTCTTTTAGGTCTAGGGTCCTGAAGAATTTACCAAGTAGTAGATTTTTGGAATAGACTGGAAGACCCAGGGACTGGCTATTGTCCTCTTCCTTATCTAGGGACAGATTCACTTCCTCTTTCTCATTAGGTCTAAAAGGAAACATTCAGATCAGAAATGGTATTATGGAGAATTTCCCAATTAATGACTTGCCTTTTCTGTCTACAAAAGTAGCCTGGTACTTGCCCCTGAAGCAATCAGAAGACAGATCCTTCAAAGAAGGAGATGCTCGTCCTTTCCCCCAATGTGCATCTCCCACTGTGGGTAAGGGAAATTTCCAAAATGGAGCTTCTTGCCATTTCTGTTCTTCCTGACATGTGAGATCTCAGGTATAGGTCTACTGCACAGAGGCCATGGATTTCCCGGGATTCTCTGAGGATCAAAAATTCATTGGGTCTTTGAAAGGGAATATGGCTTGCCAAAGCTAGTTTTAATGATGTGTTCCCCTTTGGATGGATGACATACCAATTCTTGCTGGCTTTCATACACTCCAGTGCCTATTTTTCACCTTCCTAAAGGACCTGCCAGCTCTTAAAAGTGGGTTGTCCACGGCCAGCGATTCAGGAACAGGGATCTTGCCCTTCTCAGAGAATCATGATGGGGAGGCAGGCGTATGTTATTTGAATTCAAACTGAAAAGGAAAAAAATACTAAAAAAAGGAAAATGTAAAAATAACAGAAATCACTGGCTGAGGTCATCATTGCCATGAATGAAAAATGTAGGCATGCATGCTTTCTGAATCAAGAAAAGATGGAACTGGAAAAGGGAATTCTCCTGTCCCACAGGAACTGAAATTAGAATTTTTTCTAACGTTATTCTTTTGATCAAAGTGGGAAGCACATGTGCACTTTAGAATGGTCTGGTTCCCAAGTAGAAAAACATGCAAATTTCTTACCTTCAATTATAGAAGGAGCAAATGTTTTCTGAAATTAAAGAGGCTAGCACTACGTTTTTTAAAACAGAAACCTTCAGACCTAGGAATTTATTGTAGTAAGGATGACACGCCGTAAGAGTGCCTTGATGTTGACATGGGCATCAGATGATGAGATGGCAAAACCACATCAGAAACATCATGGAGAGAATTTACTGCTGCTTCAGCTAGAACCTCTATAAATCAAGCAGAAAAATAAATGGTACTTTAAAAAAAATTCTCAAAAATTCTGCATGTGCCATGTTAATACAGTGAAGTATAGTTAGAAAGAAAATGTATGAGAGTTCCAGTAAAAAACAGGAACAACATACAACCAGTATACAATTATAACAATTTATTATACAGGCAATGTTTTGCAAGATTTCAATGATCTCTTATGCAATATCATATACAACACGTAACATGTTGATATGCCTGGCCTGTTTTTTTCTTTCGGATCACTGGCAAGGTGTTCTGAATTTAGGAGAAACACTGGCTTTTCTTCTGTCATGGACAGACTCCCAGGTAGGTTTGCAATTCTTTGACATCACCGCCCACCACAGGGAGGATGGACTTATTGGGCTGGTCAGTTCCAGGAAACTAATGGAGTCAAATGGATTTCAGAGAGAACTATGCTCTGAAGGGTCTGCTGAATGGTTTCATCAAAACTCTTGTGGTCTCCTAGGACTTGGAATATCATACCTCAGCAGCCTTTCTTCCCCTGTGGATCCCAGAACTCTCCTGCTTTATTGAGCTTAATGAGATGAAGCAGGAGAAGAGACACTTCTAGCAGACAACAAGTAACAAACCCAAACATGGATTAGATCCACTGTTTGAGCCAACTTATGGTGGTAAGGATAGCAAAATATAAAATACTTCTTGACCCTTATTACATCTGCAGATTGCTCTCCAGCAGCCTTGTTTTGAGTGACTCAGGCTCTCCTAGAAAGGTATAGCTATGAGGTTCAATACAAAGTTGCTGTCAGAAATCTGCCAGATAAAATTGTTCTCTGTTGGAGGTTGGGAGGGGAGGGAGGGAGGGACTGAGTCTTGCAAGATTATCTAGGAAAAATTTGATCATGTTAAGCCCTGAGGAAGTGAACAAGGTTCCCATAGCTATCAGTTCAACTACTTATGTCCTTCCTGTCTAATTAAGGCTGCATGGGAGAGGACATGTGATTTGGTTTTGGCAATAGTTGATTCCTCCTTCGTACAAGTTCTTGAGATGGTGGTACCTCTCTCCTCAAGGGGCCACTGCTTAACCCAAGTAGTCTGGAAAATTTTCATCCAGTGTCTAATCTTCCCTTGTTAGAGAAGGCTATAGAGCAGTGGTTCTCAACCTTTTTAATGCCGCGACCCCCAACCAGTCGTAAGTCAAGGACTACTCAACCGGTCGTAAGTCGAGGACTACTCAACTGGTGTGCAGCACCGTTTGCAGAATGGGACTTTTGGCGGGCTCAGCAGGGCAGAGACAGCCTGGACAATTCCTATTGGCTTTTGAAAGCCAATAGAATTAGACTCTATTCAAGAGAGTCTATTCTATTGGCTTTCAAAAGCCAATAGAATAAAAGGGAGTAGCACAGCTAAGGAAAAGGGGGAAAAAATGGTGGACTGCGTTGTTTGGCGACCCCCGTGAAATGGTCGTTCGACCCCAAATGGGGTCCCGACCCACAGGTTGAGAACCACTGCTATAGAGAAAGTGACCATACTGCAGCTTCAGAAGACTCAAGAAGAAACAGATTTTCTGGACCCCTTTTAGTAGGAATAAAAGTCTGGGTATGGGACTGAGAAAGCATTGATCATACCCCTGGTTGTTTCTCTCCATCCTGTCTGATCCAGCAGGATGGGAATGCTCCAGGTTCTGTTGGCTATAGAATGTCAGCTGGTGAGGCTCAGAAGACTTGATTTTTTTTGCTATAACGCAGGCTGTCTTGAACATTCTTCTGGAGATTAGGTTTACCCCAACTCTGCTGACCTTTAGTAAGGCCCTAAAGACCTGATTCTCTGCTCAGGCCCTGGGCCCTATCTATTGATATGAAATGTCTAGTGTTCTTCTCAACTGCTCTGCATTTTAACTTTTGTATATGTAGCTGTTTTTATTTTTAATTACCGTTCACCAGCTGGAGTCATTGTTGAATAATAAACTTCCCTCCTACCACATGTCTTATACGTCAACACTTTTGCCTGAAATCTTGTAAAATCTCATGCAAGAACACCAAAGTCTTCCAGGATTTCAGCCATATGAAATAATGACTGAATTTAATTATTTCATTGATGCCACTTGACATCAGTGTTGGAACTGTTATGTTACCACTGCATAATATACAGCAATAAATTCTCCAATAGTGCTTTTCATGTTTTGGTAAAGAATAAATCCTTTTTTCAATATTCCTCATATAGTTTTTCTTAAGCTAAAGAAAGCTAACGTTTCATGTACGATTATGCTTTCTGAAAATTAGATTACAATTTAATAATAATTTAAATAAGTAAGCAGCAACAACTTGTGCTTGGAATTATCAAGTATTCTCAGTTTATATCCAACTCAGAGGTCACATTTATAGCCAACTCAGAAGTCACATCTATAAAATGCATTAATATCAACCAGACTAAGTAAGAAATGAATTCACAAACTCACACTTCAGTCCTATGGATTGTAACATATCACAGAATATGAAATGATCATCCCAAATAAGAAAGCATCCAGCTTTAAGATGAGACATCTGCTTTCAAGGGACAGACTACATTTGTAAGAAAATCAGGGTTCTCTTCTCGTCTTACTTTTCAGTTTTCCAAAAGGATATGGAATAAAACTGGCAACTCTAAATTATTCCACTATCACTATGCAATTATCAAGGAAGTTTTAAAATCGACACCTTGCCTTATGGTTAGCTTTTCTGTGCTGTATTTGCCTGTATTCCATGTACTCCATTAAATTACATTATACATTAGAAACACAAGACCATCTATTCTCATCTTTGATTTCATTTCCTACAGGACTTCCTTTAGATTAGACAGAAACATTTTCTCACCTTCTTTTACACCAATGATTGATTCCGGATCTGGCAAATGCAAAGATTCAACAAGGCTAGATGGAGAGTTCATTGACACCAGGCTCTTACTGTCTAATTCAGATTCTTCCAACAAACTGCTGCCCATCAGTGATTCTGTTTTGTTTTTTTAAAAAAAAGCCATTGCATGATTAATTTACTGTGGTCTGCAATGTTATTTTAGAGTCCAGAAAAGAGGATTATTATTCACAAAACTGAATACAGAAAATTGGTATTGTTCTATGCTTTGAAGCATAGAAGGTGAGGGGATGATAGCAACAGGTAAATGCTGACATATGCATAGTTCAAACAGTTCAGTATCATAAGGAGACTATAACTAAATAAGATTAGTGTTCTTCAAAGACTACTTTTGCGCAACAGAAACTTCACTTTCACAAATTAAACTTCAAAGCCATAAAAGTTTAATACTTTATCTGGACACTTTTACTTTCACTAAAATTATGTATCCATTTTTGCAATCCATAATACTCGTTTGTTGAATATTGTTTAAGCCATCAAAAAGATATACCATGGAAAGGATAAACAGCTGACCAAACTCGAGAGCATCTATATTTCAGCAGAAAAATAACTTTTATCAACACATTCAGTTAATGACTCCTGATATGTTTAATGAAATATTGTGCCAAAATGACCCATTCTTCTGCAAACAAAACCAATTAAAGTAATCATGTCAGAAGGAAACAGGACTGGACATACATTCGAAACCAATGATGCTGCTTCAGAAGTAGAATGCTGAGAGGGTATACGTAGTCTTCACTTAACCAGCCTCTGAATTAATAACAACCTCAGAAGGATGCTTTAGGGCAGAGGTCCCCAACCTTTTGGGCATCAAGGACTGGTTCCATGGAGAAAGGTTTTTCCACGGACTGGAGAGTGTGTGATTTTGTGTGCTGTCTGCATCCCACGGATGGGGCTTTGCTTGTTTGTGCGGACTGGTTGCTGACACGCCGCAGCCCAGTACTGGTCCAGGACCAGAGGTTGGGGACCCCTGCTTTAAGGCCTGTAAAGCACTTTTGACTGTTGAGAAAAATTGCATGCACCCCTCCCTCCATGATCAGGTTATTGTGATCCGTTTCACTTATGACCAATTGCCAAACACCCTGCAATCATTTGATTGCCATTTACAATCTTCTCTGCCAGCTTTGCCAGAAAAATCAATGAAAGGCAAGGAGACAACGTTTTTAGCAAAGATCCCTACCTCTCTATGCCTGTACACAGATTTTAGCACATGTTAAAAGCCCATTGTCTCTCCGTAATTGTGCACAATTTCAGTGTGCTAAAATCCTTGTCTTTCTGCCTCTCTGTGCTTTATCTGCCCCTCTCTGCCTGCAGCTCCACAGGCATAGTGAAGCAAGGACACAAGAATTTATTTCCATGCATTTGCTTAATGAGCCAACTGCAGACTTCTAGGATCGTGTTTGTCAAGCAAAGTAGTCACATGATATGTTAATTTGCTCAATGACTGAGATTCCAGCCCCAATTATGGTTATTAAACGAGAACTACCAGTATAAGAAATGAGGCCCAGCAACCAAGAACCAAGTTGCTTTTGAAAGAAGGTACACAAGTGGAAGAAGGACACAAGTATTCAAATACAACATTTCCTAAGGTAAGAAGAAACAACATGCTGTAATGTCAACTTTTCCAAAAGAAAGAGTAAATAATGTAATAATATCCAGATTTAGATTAACTAAAGATTGTGGTCAGAGTACAATGTATTATTCTGCTTAGTAATATTAGAGGAAAGATCTGGGGAGGTACTGCAGTGTGGGCTTATGCCAGGCCTCCCCCACCTCAAGGCAACCTGTGCTCCATTTAATGACCACAAAGAGGAAAACAGGAATTGTGGTTGTTAAAGAAGGCAATTACGTGGACACCTAGTTTAACAACCGCCATAAGTTACAATCACAATTCTGGGCTCAACTATGGTCATGAATTGAGGACTACCTGCAACTATAACTGATAGACTGCAACTGTTTACCTTATTCAGGTGGCAGTATTAATCAACTAGACATATCTCTAAATGCTTTGGGGCTAAGATTGAGAATTGTACTAAAGGGGCAATTACACCACAAATTCTTGCCCAGCCCAGCCCTTATTTATTTACCATAGAAGATGACCAGGCTAAGACAAAAGGTGACGTCAAACGTATCATCAATCTGGAGTCCCTACACCCTGGAAGAGACCGAGGTCCAGCCCTCCACTTGAAGTCCCTTGACTCTTATTTGGCACCAATTTGCTTTAACTGTTAGTAAATCAGATTCTTGTGTATAGGTTGCATGGAATAAACTTGCAGTGCTTTTGAACTCTATCCTGCCACTGACTTACTTTAATTAATTATACTTTTTACAGAGCCATTTATCTCACAACAGTGACTCTGGATGGCATAAAAAATTAAAACCACTGTAAGAGTATAAATCCATAATACCCTGGTTAAAGCAATACCACCAAAATATGAAGCCACAAAGCTCACCTGACTTCCTAGCCAAATACTCAAAGGGATTAACTGTCACCAGTTTCTTTGGATCCATTCTCTTACCAATATTTCGGGAAATCATGTTAGTTTTTTCTATTTTAGTCCTTACCTGTTTGCTCATGCTGCCTATTGCTAGTTGTTTCAACCCTCGAATGATGTTTCTTCATGTGTACATTTCTACTACCACTCTGAGAAAATGTCTTCCCACAAATTTGACATTGATGTGGCTTTACTCCTGAAATAAGGCAGAAAAACATGTAAAACCGAAAGCTAAATATTTATTATAGATCAAACAGATTGATATCAGTAAAATTCAGTTAATATAAAGTATTAGCTCTAAAAAGGCTGCCAAGTTCAAAGCATCATTTTGCAAAAAATATTCATAATTTGAAATTGGGAATCTATATGATCTGTAATCTTTAATCTTCCAAATCTCAGTCTGGACTAGATGAGACTTTACATGCTTGAAGACTGAGTGATATACAATATGAATCAGCTAGGGAAATTAAAAAGAAAAAGGAGAGACCCTGTAATAGGACCTAGAAATTATACAGCTATCTCCAATACATACACTCTGCTCTGTGAATTTCATCTGAAGAAATAAAATGTCCTTACCCGAATGAACAACTAGGTGTTTTCGAAGGCTGGAATATTCAGCAAAGGAACGACCACAGCCCTGGGCCTCGCATAAAAAAGGCTTTTCCCCTGTGTTTTATCAAATTATAATTAGGTTATTTGCTTCGTTTTTTAAAAGACCATGTAAATGGAAAACAGTAATTTAGTTTGTGTGGATTTTGCTACTAAAGTATTTGTACCTTCTGTGGTATTTTCTGTTACCCAGAGCTCTACAATATACACAACATTCAATTTTTAATTCTTGGTATATTCTTAAATGGAATCCCATTACTCATGTAATCAATTCAGAATGCCTGCACAAAAAAAGCACTTGGTATGCATAGGAAGATATGTTATGATCACATTACCCTTATCCTAGTGCATAGCTCTCAATAAAGATTCCTAGGTTGTTTTTAAAATAAGTCTCATTTTCACAGTAATTCCTCTCCTTATTAATTCACTCTCCCATTCACATATTACAGCTTATCACTGCAAACATTCTGATCTCTTCTGATCTACATTATTTCTCACTCAAATAACCACTAATGGGTTCTCTCTCTTGCATTGGGATATTTTGCTTTATACCATAGGCTGCTTAAAAACCAGAAATAAGTCTTTTGAATCTTGCCAGTGAATCTTCCATATCTGCCCACAAAATACTTCTGTTTTCCTTCTATCTTTAAAACCACCTTCTCCAGCAAAGTTTTCTCCACCATAGTCTATTTCATCTAAAGATATTTGTCACAAAGCCCCTTGTTGCCAGGATCATCTTGCAATTTGATTATTAGCTTTTTTTTCTGTGAATCTATTTTTAAACCCACTTAAACTTTCTGTGGGACTGAAAAGAATCATGTTTACTGATGAAAATGTATATCCAAACTTCTATAGCACCTCATGAAAAGTTGTCATAAACATATTCATGAAGGAAAAGTATATACCAGTGTGAATTCGCAGATGATTCTTCAGATTCCCAGCTGTTGTGAATTGCTTTCCACAGCCTAGTTCAGAGCAAATAAATGGTTTCTCCCCGTTATGTGTTCTCATGTGCACCTTCAATCTTTGTAAGACATAAAAACTTTTCCCACAATCTTTTGCTGGACATGTGTAGGAGCGATCATTCCTGGAAAACAGTATAATTCTCATTGAATTAATATAAAAAAACAACCAATATTAAAAAGATACTTTTTGTTTAAAATATCATATCATATTTTAATCAAAAAGTTTAAGTTAAACATAGTCAAAGTTAATGGAAAGTAAAGAAGAAATTCTGACAGAAGGAAAGATTATTTTATTATATTAAGTCCCAATACTTTTTGAGGGAATACCTCAAGAGACTGAAAAACAATTAAGTAATGTATTCACAATAGATGAAATAAGTTATAACTGTAAAGGGCACATAGATTAATACATACAGGAGAAACACAAATATATGTACCTCAAAAGAAAGGTAGAGCAATATTTTTAAAAACGAAACAAATAAATAAGAAAATCAATGAAGTGAATAACACATAATGAAAGATCATCACAAGTTATATATGTAGATTAGGTATTGAACTAGACAAAAATAATGTACACGTACCAAAACTAGACAAATCATAAAACAAATATAAAGGGAATATTAAAAAAATCCAATCAACTAGAAAAATAATGGCAATTTTTTTTTAAAAAAACCCACACCCAGTATGTAATAAAAAGCAGCAAGCTGACAGTAAAACCAAAGAGCTAGGAAGAATGCATTCACTGAAATAGCAAACTGGAGAAACACTGCATGTTAAGTTATAGAAAATGGGAAGAATCCAGATGCCCTCAGAAATTCCTAATCAATGAAGATGTTAAAGGAGTTCTTCCTATTGAACAATGTTATTTCAGTTGCTTTTCTAGTCCTTTTGAGGAAGGGGATCAGAATCCCTTGAAATGTATTCAGTTTTGCTGTAATAAAAGACATATTCTTTCACCAATTGCCCATCTTTCCACTTGTTTGGCTGGTGTGTGTGTGTGTGTGTGTGTGTGTGTGTGTGAGAGAGAGAGAGAGAGAGAGAGAGAGAGAGAGAGAGAGAGAGAGAGGGAGAGAGGGAGAGGGAGAGAGAGCGCAATTAATTAAAAATTAAAGCAGCTACCAGTTATGTCAAACCTAAGCGAATACTTAAAAAAACGCTCTGGATTAGCTCTCTTACTTTGACCAACTCTCCCCAAATTTAAAATAATTTGTTTTAAAGGAGAAATCAGTTACATGCTGGATTAATATATATAAAACATATGGAACCCTAATAAACTTCAAGTATAGCAAGTCTATATACCTGTGGGTTTTTAGATGATATTTGAAGTGAGTTGGCCATACAAATGTTCGATCACAGCCTTCAACAGTGCACTGCAATTTTTTTTCTACCCGGGGTAGGTGAGGAATGGGGCTGGATTCCTTTGGCTGTGATTCTCCTGAACAAACATGGACATTTTCACCTGGAAAGAAAAATCCTAAAGTTAAACAACAATGCCTACAAATAAAAAATACTGAGTGAAGCAAGCCAGTAAAATTAGATATATTTCTTAACACAAAGTCTGCTCATTACTGCTTTCTCTATATTTCTAGTTAATAACATTCCATTTTTTTTAAAGAAATATAACATTTCTATAAAAATTATTTTCAGAAGGAGAGTCTTACAAAGGAATATTAATAAAAAATAAACATGAGTAATTGTTCTGTGGAAAGTATCTTGAACTGCTTTAATTTGTATCTTTGCAAAGGGAGTAATAAAAATAACGTCTTACCATTATTGTTTGCTTTGGCATTCTTAGCGAGCTGTGCTCGAGTGGCAGCAATCAAACTATCATGAGCCAGTTCCTGCACTCGTAAAAACCATGGAGTACTGCTATCTGTACTATTATTCGCAAAGAAATTGTTCCCAGAATCCACTGCTCCATCCTGGACAAATACCAGGTGTTCTGAAGAAGACCCTAGACCTAGAGAAGAAATTATTTTAAATAATAAACAAGATAAGCCAAACTACTTGTTTGTCACAAGACTGTATGACATTTCAACTACCACTTCTCTGTGAGAAATTACTGGTTACAGCAATAGCAATAGCACTTAGACTTACATACTACTCCCTAGTGCTTTGTGTGAAAAAACTTCATCATACTTTTCAAAGCAGTGAATCTCAAATATCATCTTGTTTCTTAATAGCAAAAACTGATCCAGCTAGATGGAAATTACCTGTCCGTGTTAAATTGAGGAGAATAAAGGAAGTATTATCACCAGGCTGAAGATCTTGCAATAAGGCAGAAGTATCAGGACTTGGAAGAAGGTCAGGTGGTTTCTGTACTGTTTGTGCCCTTGTCTCCTCACCATCAGGGCCAACATTTACTTGGAGACTTCGCAGAACAGCCGATGAAGAAGCATGCTTGGAAGAGTGAATATGGTTTGGGGAATCATCTGAAAATTTAAAAAACATCTAATTTGGAGCTGTCAGTACATTTAGTATAAAATCAATGTTAAAGCCAGTGTCCTTGGGATCACACATACTATTAATTATGTTAAAATATGCCAGAATTTTCTCTTATTACATATGCATATCATTTATCAAATTTCTAAATTTCAACAGACTCTCAGAGGCTTAGAGATACAATAAAGCAAAAATACTGAGATACAAGTCATTAAAAACATAAAACATACAATACTGTATCAATACAAAAACACATCATGAATCAAATACCCTCTAGAAGAATTTGGTCCCCAACATTTTTGAAACATGGCCAACAGAGGGGAGATCTAACTTCATGCAAGAATAAGGGCCACTACTAGCATCAGCAAGAAATGTTTCAGAGCGTCGGCTTCCCTCTCTACTTCTCCTAACAAAATTATAATGGTTGAGCCAGATCCTGAAAAACAATGCACTCCTGGCATCAAGCCATAAGGGTTTCAAATGTTATTATCAGCATTTTAAATTGCACCAAGAATTATGGCCACCAACACAGGGCTTGCAATACAGCTGTCTCTGGGTAATACTGACAACACTGACACTGATAATAAGCATCCAGGCTACTCCACTCTGTTCTAACTGAAGTTTCCTATGATTCTTAAAGGCAGTGCCATTGCAGTAATTTAGACATAAGGTAATAAAAGCAGTCCAAGATCCTCTTTTCCAAGGAAAGCCAGGACTGATGAATCCCCCTCCTTGAAAAACGCTCCACCTGCTGCTTAGCAATTGTCACAAGTCCAGGAGGATCCCTAAGTCATGGGATGCAGAGGTAGGGACCAGGTAGAGGTCGTGAGCAGCAAACTGCCCTTCCAACGCCTGCGTGCCTCTTCTCTCTTCATGATCTCATCCATTCACATCACCATGGCAATGTGGGAAACTACCCCAGGTTGGTACATGATATCACCTGGTTCACATGATATCAGCCAGGTTACATCAACAGGATGTGGTAGAAACTGCTCTCTGGCTGGGGCCTCCTGACTGGTATATTCTTAAGGATTGGCAAGGGGTTTCACCAATAGAACTGCTGTTGCTATGCTGATGCCATCTTACTTTATGCTATTGGGAATACCTGTATAAAAGGCAATAAACACTGCGAAAGCAGTCGGCCATATTTGCACCCTGCAATGACTAAGCACTGATTCCTACAATGGGCCAGTGATCAATAATCACTGGGGTCAGAAGAAAACTCCAATGTGCAAACAGCATCTCCATTTTGCTAGACTTCAATTTCAACTTGTTTTCTCTCATCCAGACACTCACAGCCTCCAGGTGCTGAAGCAGGATTTCAGTGGCATCCCCAGTAGAACCTGGACTTGTGATGGAAAGTAAAGTATAATTGGCATACTGGACCTCAAACCATCAGATGATCTCTCCAACAGCTTCTTGTAGATATTACCATTCAAGGAAGCTAAATTTCCACTTGTACAGCATATTATAAAAATGTATTCCAACAAAACATTCTAGTCACAATGGATTTCTTCAAAACTATAACATCCTCCAAAGGTGTGATATTATACACAGCATTAATTTTACAAAAACATAATACAAAATATTTTTAGAATTCATCAGATTTCAGCTTTTACCTGGCAATATCAACCTGTTGCATTGTGGGGATTCTGTAACGGGAAGAAGAGATAGACAGGTAATATTTTTAGGTTCTGATTCCACAAGTCCCTGTCCTAGTGGGATGGATGTGTTCTGAACAAACTGAACCAGCAACTGGAAAAACAATACAAAACAATGGCGTTAAGACAGAAGTAAGTAAGGTAATAACATGCTTTTTATATACTACCTCTCTCATTCATCAACTTTAATTGCAAAACAGACTTCATCAAGTATACCCGCATAATTATTTCAAAGACAACAAAATATAACATTTAATCATTCAAATATCACCAAAGATCAACCAACAAATAATAAAAATATGAAAATTCTACACATGCAAGTATTATCTATTAACATTCTGAAATTTTACTGTTCTACTAAACAATGTATGCTATATCTATATAACAGTAGTAGATACTACAAGTCTTGTTCTCTGGCTGTACTTACTAACAATATTACTTTTCTATTGTGTAAGAACCACTCTTGAATTTTAATGAACAGCTGTAGTGGACAGCTGTAGTATGTCATGCAATCTACATGACATATCCAATAGTTTTTGTGTGATTGTATTCATAATGCAGCCCAAATTACATGTGATGTGCTTAAGCAATATATCATTTAAAAAAACGAAAACAAATAGCTATGGGAAGCTCACTAAACATTAGCAAGAAGGGTTTTTTTTGTACTTGCAGTACAGGTCACAGAAATATAGAATCAACAATATACTGAATCAAATTCAGCATGCTAACGGTTACTAGCAATGGCTCTTCAAGAATACACAGAGATATACTTGCAGCATAACAGAAAGAAAATATCAGAATCTGAATTAGTTTGGTCTCAACCACAACAACAGAAACCATCCCTTAAGCTGATATTTGGCATGGAAGGGATGATGCCACAGACATTCGTACCAAATAGCAATTGTGTAGAAGGGGGCATTGGCGTACAGGAGGAATTTTATTGCAAATAGAATATGTTATATTGAACGTATGTAATTGGACAAAACATAAAAAGTTGAACCAAGGGTTTGCTTACTAGTGTTGTTTCGGAAGAAATCCTACAGAACACAATTCAAGAACCTGCCTTTATTTCTTATAAATTCCCTCAGCAGTAATTGTAAAAACTAATAACAACTCAATCCTCAGACCTCTTCCGTATAACTTGTCCAAGTATTATCCTCAGATATACTATATTAAGGAAGAATTCATAATACAAGAGTTTCCACACCTTGCCTTCAGCACTGAACATTTTAATCTCCAGTATGTATATATTTTACAGTATGTATTTTCAAGTTTCTTTCTACAAGACCCAGCACATACTGTTAACAGTTTCTGAAACTCTTGATGCAACAATATGCCAAAATACCAATTCACTAGTCAAGTTCTATAGAAAAAATAACCCATGAAAAGAAAAGTACTTTGCATCTGGACCAAGAGCAACTTTCTAATAAAGGTCTAAGGTATAATTCTACATAAATGTAGTTAGGTTTTTTTTCCCCCATTATATTCTTTGGAGATTATTCCTAAGTAAATGTGCTACTCTACTGACTTCTTATAACAACATACTTTCAAATGACACTTTATATAGTTGAGTAAAATCGGAGTATAACACCATACAAACATGTAGAATACAACAATAACAAGGAATGCAAATCTGGTGCTAACCTCTGGTTTAGACTCTAACTCATCTGATAACATCGATTCAAGTTTCCAACTCCCAAAGTAGATCTAGGTAAGGCATACGTTTAGGAGATCAACATGAACGGTTATTTGTGTTTATACACATATTCCAGCCTCACAAGCTTATGAGGGTCATCTTAACAGAGAAGATAACAGAGAAATTCAATATAACCTGAAAAAAAGAAGGAAAATTAACCAATTATACAACAGGCATACAGTACTCCATTATATTGTTATAATAAATTATAAAGCATAGACATGTATAGGCTGCATAGGTGCACTGAGGGTTTTCTTATCATAAAACTATATCTATTTCTACACTGTACACTTTTAACTAGAATCAAGACCCAGATAAAGTTTCTCTTACAGAGATAATTTTTTTATGTACAATGGATCATTATAGGATTTTGAGTACATTTACTTGCTCCTATCTAATTTACAAAATAATCATCTTAAGAGGTTAGATGTTTTTCTGGAAACTAACATCTGGAAATCAAACATTAAAAAATAGCTTTTAGGATACTAAAGTAAGTTCATTCCCCCTTGTTTCCAATTTATAGTTAGAAACGCCTCTCAGTATGGCATCACAGTTTTATTTAAAAATATGCTAAAACCATTCAAGGCTATCAATCACCTTCAGTAAGTTCTCTGCATGTTGCTGCTAATAATATCACAATGCTTAAAATGGCCTCAGCAAAATATCACTTATAAGTGCCATGGTAATAACCACACTTTATCTACTGTTTCCCTCTCCCCCCAACCCTTCACTATATTACAACTTATTATACCACCATATCCACAGATCTGACATTAAAACCAGGACACAAAATAAAATTGTAACTGTATAACTGGGTAAGAACAAAGGACTGAGTTTGATTGCTAATAATAGCAAATATCACCAGCAATTTATTTTCATGAAACAGAAAACTATTAAAAGGATCATGAGCAGATTTAATAGGTACAGGATATACTTTTATTAAATACTAAAACTCTGTGATCTAAAAATAATCAGATGCAAACTCCCCCATACTTGGAATTAAATAATTTTGAGATTTCAAATGCCAGAACTATTTTTCCAATCCTGATTGTACAAAGTTTATTCATTTCAGCACGGTAACTGGAGCGGTGGTTTGGAAAGGGAGGGTACCATTTTAGTATTTTAATTTGAAATGTGACATTTCTGATGATATACTACAACCCGCACATTCAGTTCTTCTTTCTGCCTGTATCCTTAATCCTTATCCACAAATAAAATGAAGTTTGTTTTAAACTTACTTATCTGTGGCTTTTGTATTAATGGCCTTATCTTTCATCTTATCTTTATCTTCAACTATTGACAGATCAGATCAACTCTTTGGAAAATTAATCTGACCTTTTCTTTATACGAAACAATGCATATCCTGACCAAATTATATAGACCGTCACTATCCTCAGGGATTTCAAAGAAAGTTACGACCGATATCTTTTTGTTTAAACAGCTTCTTAGGCAATTCCTACAAAGGCGGAGTTAGGAAACACCAAACAGGATGCGCCACTGAATCCCCAGCAAAATGCTGGCGGCCTTGTCAGTTACTAGGCTGGCTTGAGAATTCCGCAGCTGGTCCACAAAAGGAGCCAAATCACTCGTACGTACGGTCAAGATGAACTCGGCGGGCGCTGGGAGGCGAGAGGATGACCTTCGTCGCGTCTGCTCTCTTATGACAAGGCCAAAGCCGGTGAGGCCTCTACCACAACACGAAGACCAGCGGAGAAGCGGCTTTTCCTAAGGCTGGATACCCCAAAAGAAAAGGCGGGAAACGGGTGCGCTGCCGTGAGATCCTTCACCGTGGCTATTCTTTCGTCCTTTCTCTCCGGCCCGGGAAAGACGGGAGGGAGGGAGCCTAAACTCTCGCTTTTTCCCGGGACAATCCTTTCTTACCGGCATCTCAGGACCGTCCGGATATGACGTGTCGTTATCGGAAATTCTAACATCCCCTCTAGGACAAACCATAGAGTGAAGGGGGGAACGTCTAGCGCAGGGTTAGTCAACCTTGGCTCTTTTATGACTCGTGGACTTCAACTCCCAGAATTCCTGAGCCAGCTTCTGGGAGTTGAAGTCCACGAGTCATAAAAGAGGCAAGGTTGACAACCCCTGGTCTAGCGCTTCTAACGCACAGACTGAACTAAATGACTCGCGATTGAAAAATTAGATCAATTGCTGTGCATTACCTACTTCCGGTTCTTATTGAAGTGCCTTGTGTGGCGCGGGAGATGGAATGGAAAAAATAGAGAATATTTTAGAGACAAGCCAATATCATAATTCCCAGGATCCCGCGTAGATTTTGCTGCAGCTCCTCGAAATGAAAAATAACGGAGTCGTTCCCTGCATGATGTGTGCTCATTGCATTACGTTTGATTCACCGCAAAGTCAGTTTAGAATCGGAAGTATTAACTAAATCTATGCTTTATTAAACAAACAAAAAAAGGTGGAGTTAGATCGCAGAATTGATGGCAGGGACCTCTTCACGCAAACTTTTGCCTGATTTTTCTGACATACAGATCAGAAGTATATGTGCCGCGTGCAGTTATCGATGTTTCGAATCTACATACTTAGGACTATAATGCTATAAGGAAATTTGGGGGTAATTCCTTTCTACGGATCTTATTGTAACTGACTAGGGCGGCATACCACTGGAGCATAGTGATCTCTTACAGCTCTGGGCCTTCCACCTTATATTTGTTCCCTTTCTTTGCTTCTGTCTTTATTTTCTATTGAACAAGCACATAGATGGAAATGTGAGAATAGCACTTTACTGCATCTTATAAAGAGGGATCTGACCTACCCAAGACTACACTATGAACTGTTAATCTAGCAAAATATCCTCCTTTTGCCACAAATGATTTCAGAATTTGTCAAAATTACACAGCATATAAAGAATAATGAGTTTATATTTTATTGAATATAAGCAACATGTAACTCTGAACAAGTTAGTCAAATATAATTTGAAAATATCTGTTGTCAATACTATTTTTCCCTTAGAAGTTAGGGTACCTAAGTAAATTTAGAAATTCTTTAATACAGTCATTAAATAAGGTCAGCTCTTGCATGTATTTAATCAGTTAAAGTGGCTTGTTTATTTCAACAACCTATCAAAATAATCTAATACATATTTATAGAGAAGTTAAATTCTTGTAAACTGAGATCAAAATTGAACAATCCCAATCTTTTGCTATATTTAGCAACATGATACTATTGGGAGCAAATGTTAAGATGGTCATTCCATCAAAGATAGTACAGACTGTAATTTTACAATAACAAAGCGCTTTCCCTAATACTGATAAAATTTTCTGTTTAGTTTTTCCCTGGGGAGAAAAATCACCAGACTGCTTTTAAATAATTATCTCTATTCAGCCCTGCGGGACAGATGCCTCATCCCAGAGGGTCTTCAAACTTGGCCCTTTTATGACTTGTGGACTTCAACTCCCAGAATTCCTCAGCCATGTTTAGTTATCACTTGCTGGAGACTAGAAAGATATTCCTGTTCTATATATAGTAGAAATGTAAATACATTATATTGGTCCAGCAAACTGCAACTTTAAATTCAGCTGTCCCAGAGTAACTGCACCAGCATAAAACAAGGTGGGTATTTAGCTCACCACTTCACTTTTCAATGTATGAAACTGTTCACAAATTATATCCTGCAAGAATTTATACAGTCCTGAGGAGGAAGTCGAATATTGCTCTCTGCAAGGAGCCAGGTATTCTAGGGTTCTATTATCACAAGCAGCTCCAATTCATTATTATTCTGCATAGAAAGTTTGTTAAGTAACTGCATGATGCCAGAGATTGTACCTGACCATCCTTTTGCTCATTTCCAGATTTCCCTCATAAAACAAAACTATCACCTACTGACAAAGCTTTTTGGCTATGAGAAAAAAATCCATAATTCTGTTACAATATACCCTTTTAGTAAACCAGTTCAGAGCTGTTTTTGTTTTAACAACTTAGCCTCAAGTAAACTGAGCATTGTGAAAAGATATCGTATTATTGGATAATTTCCACCTATCTGACTTTTACAAGCATTTTTATTTTTCTTCACGGGACAGTTATCATTTTTTCTTCTACATTATTTCCTCGTTCCCCCACCCAGATTTTGAGGGAAATTCCTTTTTCTTTGGTAAGGAGGCTGCTGGAGCTCGGCCCACCGAGACAAAATGATTAAGCTACGCGACGAACCATACAGCCTTCCCCCTTGTCCTTCAGTTGTGCTGAGTCATAAAAGCAACAGCACTCGCTATCCCCGCCAGCTGGATACATTTTGGTATGCTCCGCCTATACCTCTTCCTCTCTCGCGCTCCCTCCACTCCCAAGTGCGTTCATGCATTCATCCGATCATGCTGCCACCCTCATCCAGAATCCGATGGTACGTCCCAGGCTCCCCCTGCGGCTGAGTGCGGTGGTAGGCTCCGGCGGTAGCAGAGTCCCGTCCGGTCCCGCCCCGCCTCCCTCCGCCTTGTCATTGATGTTGTTGTTTTTGTCGCAGGAGCCGGAGGGAAGGCCGGGGCCGGGGCCGGGCTTTGGGCTGCGGCCGCCGGCGGCTGGGCCGGCGATGTCGTCGGTGTGCGGGGGGTCGGTGGGCGCCGGCTCCTTGCCCAGCGAGTTGGTGGTTCACATCTTCTCGTTCCTGGCGGCCCCTGACCGACTTCGGGCCTCAGCCGCCTGCTCGCACTGGCGCGAGTGCCTCTTCTACCCGGCGCTGTGGCCCCGGCTGCGCCTCAGCTTGCGCGTCTGCCCGGCGGAGCGCCCGCGCCTCGACTTCTTGATGCGCAAGTGCGGCTGGTTCGTGCGCGAACTCCGCGTCCAATTCGCCGCTGATAACTATCCCAGCGGCGGTGGCGGTGGCGGAAGCGCGAGTGGGGTCTGCGAAGAAGCGGCGGCGGTAACGGCGGCGGTAGCAGAGGGGGAAGCGCCGCTCTGCCCTCGCTGGCTGGAGCTGTTGAGGACATACCTGGAGCTCGTGCTCTGCGTATTAAGCAGCGTCCGCAACAACAGGTAGGCGAGCGTTTGGACACCCACACCCACAAAGCCACACACACGAGGGACGGGGGTGGGGAACAAAGGCGGAAGCGGCCAGGTTTTCCCTTTCCACCACCCAAACTTTTTGCCCGCAAGATTTCCGTATGGCCGCAGTCCGGGAAAAGTTCTCGGATGGAGTTCAGAATACGGAGAAAAGCCACTTGTTCAGTGCCTGCGTCTCACCCAACGAAGGCGCAGGAAGTGAGGGGAGGGGAGGAGAATATGTCGCTGGCTTCACTAGGGAAACCCGACGGGAAAGAACATTCGCAAAGGAACACTCGTAGCATGTCGTCAACTGCAACGGAGAGATCTCTGCTGAAACGAGCTAGCGTTGCTGCTTTTGCTGGGAACCTCAAGTACACTGGGGAAGTGTCCTTATCTTTGAAGTGTCGCCTAAACGACGGCTTTTCTTGGGCACCGTTCTCTATAAGATGCCTCCTGTTTCGATGAATTGATTGTATATTTACCCGAAGCCTATCAGTTCTTGTGACGTTTACCCTGATACTTGACCGATAATCAGTATTTTAAAATACCTCTCTTTTAAAAGTGCATGATACTAATTGGAAGCCAGCATCGGAGCAAGTGGACTATGGGCTGAAAAACATGATGTAGTGCATTTGTTAAGTATTTATGAGTCTTAGCAAAACGAAATCCTTCAAAATTGGAGAAAGTGGCTTGAAAGTCTCCCTTCTAGTACAATTTTCAGATTAGTCAGTGCAAACATCCTAAAGTCGCTTACATTTTATTTATATACCGTATACAATTTAGAGGTTGCCTAACTGCAAACAACTCACACAATTAAGAGCAAAACAAGTACAAAACAACTACAACTACAAAACACTGCAGCCACCTTAGCCTAAAAGCCTTGAAGAATAGCCAGGTTTTCAAAGGCTTTGGAACATCATTAGAGTGGGAACTATATGGATGGGGGGGGGGGTGATATATTATACCAGAAGGAGGTGCCTCAACAGTACTCATTATATTAATAACATAAGAGAATTTTTTTAAAGGAAAACCATATGCAATATGATTTAGTAAATCTTAAGCTCTCTTCGGCTTTTGTTTTGTATTCATCAAATAACTCATCAAAGAATTCTAAGATTTCTAACCTTTCAAGGTCGTAACAAAATACCCTAGTTTATACAGTTACTTCTAAGGTTGTTAACCTATCTTCTTTCCCTTTCCTTTTCATTACTGTTATATCTCCCTGCTTCATTACAAATTAAAATGTCCTTTCAGTAAGATTGTGCTTTTCTTTTTCTTCGTGCTGTGCTTTGTCCCATTTTTCTGTGGGAAATAAAATAAAATCTGTTTTGTATAATTAATTAATTTCTGCCTTGGAAGTGTAAATCAATTATGTTACTACCTTTTCCTTAGATTTTATATTACCTAAATAAAACAAATTGCATGTTTAGATTTTATATTACCTAAATAAAACAAATTGCATAATTGAAGTAATAAATAGGACACAGCTCTGAATCTTACATTTCTAGCCTTATAGCTCAAGTCTCTTAGGTATTGTGATGCAACAGATTTTGTCACAAGAGATCATTAGATTTATCTGTAGTGAAACATTTAAGAGTGAGTCAGGAATTTGTACTCGTAGCTCACCAAGTTACCCATAGTTTTACCATAAGGTTTTTTAGCTGCTTCACATTTTTATTTTTCACATATTGTGAAAAAGCTGCAGTGAAATCATTCAATTCTGGGGTGAATCCATAAAATGAAAAAGTCAAAAGAAGGAAAGGTAGAGAAGACCACTAACAATAGTAAGCTGTTATAAGCGATACATATAATAAACTGGCAATAATACCTATACAAATTGAGAATCTAAATTAAAAAGGTCCACTTGGCTAATTTATTTGGCTAATCAAGCCACTATATTGGGATAAATAATTTGACAAATATAACAGTAATTCTCAGGTCTTTGCTGTAAGTAGAAAAATGAAAGAATTTATACAAGGTAGATCTTTTTTGCTCAGAACTGCTATACCCACCAAACTATATTACTGGGCTCATCTCTATCTCATGATTAACCTTGGTTATTATCTATGTATTGTTATCTGTTCATGTGTGCAATTGATCTCTTCAGGTCATGTTTGTTTAGAACATGCTTCCAACATTATTGAAATAGCCTTATCATAGACAAAATGATTAGTCTATCGAATCACACATCATTAATTCTGCAGCTAATTAAGATTATGGGACAATCTTTGCTGCAGACTGTTTGATGGACATGATTGTAAACGCCATCAGATATAGAAAATCTAAATAGGAGACTAATAATGAATAAATGATATTATTAACCATATATGCTTATGCAGTAATAAACTGATTGCTGTATCTTTTAAAAAAAATGCTGTATCTTTTACAAAGCATTAAAAGTACTAATTTGATTAGAAAAATAGTGAAGTTTCTACTGACAAGTTTTAGAGTCTCTGTAGCCCTCTTCAAGTTCTGTCCCTCCTAACCTCCTATAAAGTTTCACAGATATATTTACCTTCACAAATGTATTTCTAAACCCCCAGAAATTTAAAGGGGGGGGTAAGCATCCCACGACTCAAGTCGGAAAAATAATAATTGATGGGAGAATATTGTATACATTTAATTTTATAGTTGGTCTTTGAAATTTTCTCTTTTCAAAGCTGTTTTTCCTTACAGAAAGGGGAGACCAGGCCTTTTGTTTATAATGTATATTTATGCCCAAAGGTAACTAAACAAGGATTGCTAGGTTATGGAGTGAATAAAAGAAATGTTGGTTGTAACTTTTAGTCCTACGGTAACAAACACATGATTCAGGTATCTAAGAAGTATAAGGAAATGGTTTGATAAATCCTAAAAATAAGCTTGACTTTTAACTTTTTCTGTGAAATAAGAAAATAACATTCCTCACTATGTATGGCAATTTCAAGTGGATTTAATCTCCTACTCTTAATGTAGGTAATTTATTGAGAAAAAACAACTGTGAAAACTTTGTTCTGCAACAACAATCAACATGGTTATACTATTATGAGAAAATCTCTGAATAAATAATGTAAGATTGCACCATATTAAAAGCGATGGAATTGAAAAGATTTATCTCATGTATATACTACAGCAGTGGTGGCGAACCTATGGCGCGGGTGCCAGAGGCGGCACTTGGAGCCCTCTCTGTGGGCACACGTGCCGTTGCCTCAGCCTCACCTTCCCCCACAACCCCCTCCTCTCCAGCAGCCCCCCTGAAGGAGAGTCACCCCTGACCGTGGCCCACACGGAGCAGTGCAGCTAAGGACATGGCAGCCAGGCAGCATAGACAAGACTCTGCCCTCACACCCCATCGTGCATAGTTGATGCTGCAGGGTACGGGCAGAGGGAGTGACCGCTGTAGTGCTGCTGGGCTGCCTGGGCGATCTGCGACGGGCCTTGGAGGCGGTGAGTGGCCCTGCGGGCAGGCGGGGTGGGGGCACTCGGTCTCTAAAAGGTTTGCCATCACTGTATTATAGCCTTATTTACTTCTGAAGATAGTCCTATATTTTGGATAACCTCCATTCCACACTTGTAACAGTTTTTAATTTGCTTAATGTCAGCTGCATTATGTGTCATACAATATAAGTATTTTGTAGGTAGTGCAAGTTAAGAGCTGCATGCTAGGGCTGCAAGTAAAGGACAGGAATATATAATCTTATTGTGTCACCATACAAATCAAAATTTGCCCATTTTGTATATGGAAAGAAATTACATTAATGTGTGTGTGTTTGTGTTTGTGTATATAATCTTTATTAACAGGTTCAATTATAATAGTAACCTTGGTTAGCAGATATGGGCATTCAAAAAATACCCAAATATACAATGCCATAACTGAGTTATGAAGTTTGCTTAATCAGTTAGGAATGATCAATCTTTTTTACTCTCATCTACTGCACTAAGGAGCTCCCAGTGGAAAGGTTGGATATAAATGTAGTAATGAAGCCAGATTGTGCTTTGGAGTATGGGCAGTTTATAAACTTCCAATGACATATTTTAATTTCAGATATAAAAACTTGCAATCCTCCAGAATGTTTACAGTTCCCATTTTTCCTCATTGAATCAAGGAATGTTAGTATTGGAAAAGACAGTAAGAATCTAGTTCCTATTTTGTGGATTGCAAAAGCCATCAAAACCTTACTTTTTAAACGTATATCAGAGACTGAAAACTTTTTGGATCTTGTAAATCTAGGGTTAATTAATATGAAGTTACTTATCTCTGGAACTAAACTATGTTTTCTAATACGTTAATGATATTGTATTTTTAAACTTATTTACAAAAATAGGGTATGCAAGCTGCTTAGAATCAGTATCAAATGGAGCAGTATATAAGCCCATTAATAAATATTTTGAAACCCTTATTTGTTAATGACAGTATTTTCATTTAACACATTCATTCTGTGTTGTGGTAGCTCTGTATTGTTCATACCTAATCCGCCCAAGGAAATTGACTTTTGTTTTATCAAAGTGAACATTTTAGAATGTTTTAATTTGGAAGAGAAGCTGATTTGTTCACTTCAAATGAAGAACCCAAACTGAGCAGAGGATAGATCTGAAAAGAAAATAAGGGAATGTTTTGAAGTTTGAGGCAAAAAATTATTGATACACATTCATTAATGATTCTGGATTATTTTTCTAAGTAAATCTTATTTATCAGCAGCTATTTTGTTGTGTGTTAATGCCATGATAGTTTTGTTGGCTGAAGCTCATGTAGCTTACCAGATAGTGATGTAAAATACTTTCCATTTTAAATTACAATTGTTCCAATTTATAATAATTCACCATACTGGTTGGGGCTGACAGAAGTTGTAGTTCAAAAGACCACTAGATTCCTCCCCTTGCATTATGTGATATTAGCCAAAGTTCACTGCTAAAAGTTATCAGAGAGATATCAAAACCTATACTCATCCTGTATTTAGATGAAAATTTCATTGTGCAATATCATTTTGCCATAGGCAAGCAGAAGCTGAAAA